GCCTCAGATGAGCACGACGTTCCTGCGGCATTTCCAAGCCAATCGAAAGTTTTCGATGCCTTTGAGCTACCTCAGCAATAGAAGGCAAGAAAGAGACGAATCCTTGCAATCTTACATTGATCGTTTCCACAGGGAACTCAACAAGGTGGCCCACGCTCCAGAAGAGTCTATCCGAACACTTATAATAGCTAGAGTTCGCCCGCAAACCGACCTGTGGAAAGAACTGTAGACTGAGGATGATATTTCCCTCACCAGATTCTACAACATGGCAGAAAAGTATCTCCGAATAGAGAACTCATTGGCGGCACTCCGCCATCGCGATCATGGCACTTCCAGCAGCATGTCTGGTCGGGGAGATAATAGGAGAGCTGATCACAAAGGAGACATTGACGATCAGCGAAAAGGGAAGAAACCCCGCTACGAGCAGAAAAAGTCCTATGCTCCTGTTCCTCGTCGCGACCGCGACAGGACTCAATACACTCCGCTGAACGTGTCCATATCTGTAATCCTCGACAAATCCGAGGAGGCCAGCTTGCTCGGTGAGCCCGAACCAATGAAAACTCCTACTACGGCCAGAAACAGCAAAAAATACTGCCGTTACCACCGGGATAACGGGCATCACACTGATGAATGCCGAGCTCTAAAGCAGGCTATCGAAGAGCTCATCAAGAAGGGGCACTTCAAGGAGTACATTGATGACTCCCCAAAAGGAAACCAAGGGGAGCAAAAGAAAAAGCGCCGTGATCGCAGCGGGTACGATAGTGTTAACATAATTTTCGGAGGTCCGCACCTCGCGGGAAACACGCGAGGAGCGCAGGGAAGGTATTCTCACGAAGCGCATCACGACCCGATCAGGGTAATGAACACTTCGCAGCGACCTCAAAAAGCCAGAAAGGAGGAACCGATCACCTTGTGCGAGAAGGAGGCAGCTCGCTTGCACCATCCTCATGAGGATGCTCTGGTGATCACGCCCCTGATAGGGTGCCATAATGTCTGCAGAATGCTTGTAGACAACGGAAGCGCTGTGAACATCCTGTTCAAGTCCGCTTTCGATAGAATGAACCTAGTCGAGGCCGACCTGAAGCCAGCCTCGATGCCTCTGTACGGTTTTACAGGGGATCACCTGATCCCCAAAGGTATGATCCAGCTTCCAGTCATGCTCTGCGACTACGACGAGGTGACTAGGGTTACTGAATTTTTGGTTGTGGACTGCCCGTCGGCCTTTAATGGAATCTTGGGGCGACCTCTGCTGAGAACCTTCAGGGCAGTCACTTCCATTTATCATCTCAAGATGAAGTTCTCCACTCCAACGGGGATAGGTGAAGTAAGCGGATCGCAAAGCGCATCTCGCGAATGCTATGTAAAAGCGGTCCAGATGGCGGATAAGGGAAAAGGCATTTCGCGATGTGTGCCCCGCCAGGCTATGGTGATCAGCCGGGTCGAGCCACAGCCTGGTCCAGCGGAAGATAATATAGATCCGCGAATCCAAGAAATCCCCCCCAGCGGCCTGATTGAGGATCTGTCCGAGGTTTCTGTTGATCCAAAAGAGCCGAGCCGAGTGTTACGGATTAGGAGCTGTCTCAACCCACAGCTCGCTTCCGAGCTGGTAAGCTTCTTAAAGGAGAAAATTGACGTGTTTGCCTGGTCACACGCAGATATGGTCGGGATCAGCCAAGACGTTATTTGCCATTCATTGAATGTCAACAGCGAAGCTAAGCCAGTTCGCCAGAAAAGAAGGGCGATGGATCCGGAGTGGTACGTCGCACTAAAATCAGAAGTGGAGAACCTTCTCCGAAATGGATCCATTCGTGAGGCTCTCTACCCGACCTGGGTTGCCAACCCGGTCCTGGTAAAGAAACCAAATGGCAAGTGGCAGACCTGTGTAGACTTCAGCGACCTCAACAAAGCTTGCTCGAAAGACAGCTTCCCCCTGCCAAGAATCGACCAGCTCGTTGATGCCAGCTCGGGGCACGAGCTGTTAAGTTTCATGGATACTTACTCGGGATACAATCAAATCTCGATGTATGGACCAGATGAGGAGCATACGACCTTCATTACGGATCGGGGGCTATACTGTTACAAAGTCATGCCCTTCGGCCTCATGAATGCGGGCGCGACCTATCAGAGGTTGATCAATCGAATGTTCTCCGACCAGATCAGGAGGACAATGGAGGTCTATGTGGACGACATGCTGGTCAAATCCCAAGTCGCCTCAGAACATATTACGCATCTCGCAGAGATGTTTGACATACTCCGACTCTACAGAATGAAGCTGAACCCTCTCAAATGTTCATTCGGGGTATCATCAGGAAAGTTCCTGGGATATATGGTCAATCAGCGGGGCATAGAAGTAAACCCCGAGAAGATCCAAGCCCTGCTCGATATGGAGAGTCCGACCAGCAAGAAGCAGGTCATGAGTCTGAATGGGCGAATAGCGGCACTTAGTCGCTTCATATCAAGGCTAACAGACTGCTGTTTACCATTCTTCAATGTTCTGAAGGCCAATAAGAAATTCAAATGGACTCCCGAATGCGAGCAGGCATTTCAGAGTATAAAAGAACACCTTGGGAAGCCACCTCTCCTCTCTAAGCCTCTTCCACAGGAAATCCTGCTCATCTACCTGTCCGTGTCTCAGTTCGCGGTCAGTGCAGCTTTAATACGGGAAGAGGAAAAGGCTCAGTGGCCAGTATATTATGCAAGTAATCGTCTATCGGATGCCGAGATGCGGTATCCGGAAATGGAGCGACTAACTTTTGCTCTGCTGGTCACTTCCAGAAAGCTGCGACCTTACTTCCATGCCCATACAATCAATGTAATTATTAATTACCCCCTCAGGCAGGTCCTTCAGAAACCAGAAGCCTCGGGTAAACTGCTCAAATGGGCCATGGAATTGAGCCAGTTCGACCTAAAGTACAAGCCTAGGTTGACCATTAAAGGGCAGGCTGTTGCCGACTTCATCTCAGAATTTTCCTATCTCCCGAGCGAGCAACAACCTAGTGAAGCCGTGCAAGAAAGTATTCAGAACCTGTCGACTTGGAACCTCTACGTCGACGGGTCATCAAACAGGAAAAGAGCTGGTGCGGGTCTTCTCCTTGTGAGTCCCGAGGGGGCTCGAATTCATGGTATTCTCCGGTTCGGGTTTAAGGCAACCAACAATGAGGCCGAGTTCGAGGCCCTACTCGCCGGGTTGCGACTTGCCAAAGAAATGGGTGCAATCGCGATCAGCATTTATAGCGACTCTATGCTGGTCGTCAACCATATTCTAGGGGAGTACCAAGCCAAGGAAGAGAACATGGTCCGCTACCTGAAAAAGGCTAAGACCGCTCTAGGGTCGTTTAAGCACTTTGAAATCGCTCAGATCCCTAGGGAAAGCAATTCTATAGCGGACGCCTTGGCAAAGATAGCCTCCTCATTGGATTCAGAGGCTCCAAATGACATTCTTGTTTATTTCGTCGGTGCTCCAACTATCAGCTCGACCGAAAAGGCCGTAAATGTGGCTCGACCGGATTCCTGGATGACTCCCATTATCCAGTACCTCAAGGATGGGACCTTGCCAAGCGACAAGGTCGAGGCAAGGGTCCTGCGAGTAAGATCTGCTCGTTTCACACTTATCGGGGACTAGCTGTACAGGAGAGGATTCAGTGCCCCTCTCCTCCGATGTGTGACCAGCAAAGAAGCAGACTACATCATGAGGGAAATCCATGAAGGGATCTGTGGCAACCACACAGCTGCTCGATCTCTTGCGAACAAGGTTGTTCGTCAGGGGTATTATTGGCCCCGGATTCAAGAAGATGCGCACAACTTTGTCAAGAAATGTGATAAATGCCAGCGGTTCGCGAACATTCCGCGAGCCCCCTCTCACGAGCTGATAACTATGTCTAGCCCCTGGCCGTTTTCCATGTGGGGGATCGATCTTATTGGCCCCATGCCAGTCGGAAAGGGAGGGGTCAAGTATGCCGTGGTCGCGGTAGATTATTTCATGAAATGGGTGGAAGCCGAACCGTTAGCCGCGATCACGACCAGAAAGCTGAAAGACTTCATTTTCAAGAACATAGTGTGCCGCTACGGAATTCCTCACACCCTCATCTCGGATAATGGAAAGCAATTCGATAACGAGGAGTTCAAGCAGTTCTGCGACGAGCTGGGCATCCATAAAAAATTTGTCTCAGTCGCCAGATCACAAGCGAATGGCCAAGTTGAAGCAGTCAACAAGACCATCAAGCACACTCTAAAAGCCAAACTCGGGGCAGCCAAGGGGAATTGGGCTGACGACCTCCTCGAAGTCTTATGGGCGTACAGGACAACTCCAAGAACCTCCACCTCAGAGACCCCTTTTTCGCTAGCCTATGGCTGCGAAGCGATGATCCCTGTAGAAATGGGAACTGGTTCTCTTCGGAGGGACTTGTACGACGAGGTTGAAAACGAAGCACTTATAAGGGCAAGTTTGGATCTCGTTGAAGAGCATCGCAGCAAGGCTTCACTAAGAATAACAGCCTATCAGAAGTGAGTAAAGAAATTTTTTGATTCAAAGGTCAAGCGAAGAGACTTCCAGGTCGGGGACCTTGTGCTAAAGGAAGTTCTCCTCGGGACTAGAGAACCGAGTGCGGGGGTATTGGGACCCAACTGGAAAGGGCCGTACCGGGTCGACAAGGTGATCAGGCCGGGGACTTACCATCTCAAAAGGCTAAACGGTTCCAAAGTACCCCGAGCTTGGAACGTCGAGCACCTCCGGCCATACTATCAGTAATCCCGAACTCAGCTCTCAATCAGTTTATGTTAATTTGATTTCTAATGTAAAGCTTAATTCTGTTCGCTGGAGACAGTTCGCATGTGTTCTGTTCACGTGTAAAAATTCGCATGTAATATTGCTTATTCAAATTGAATTGTAAATTGAACTTATGTATAAAAAAAAAAAGAGCGAACTATAATTGTAAAGAAAGTGTCTTCATTTATGTACAAACAAAAGTTAGACCCAATTACGATGGGGTCGACTCATTACATTACGGCTGGTCGGGGGGATCCTTCGAACCAGAACCCCCTGCCTGGTCGGGTCGTTGGGCGGCCGCGGCTGCCTGATCGTCCTCCTCGGCCATGATCCGCAAGGTCGCTTGCCACCCCTCTGGGAGGTCAGAAATGTCCATATCTGGGTTCCTCAACCGGAGGGAATAAATGCACCCGATTGCCCAGTCGGCGGCCTTCTCCTCCAGCTCCTCTGACTGATTTCGCATCTCTTCAGTCAGTGAGGCGATCCTTTCGCGACTCTCCTGGAGTTCAGCCTCAAAAGCTCGTTTCTCTTGTTCGGAGGCCTCCTTTTCTTGTTCAAGCCGCTGGGCCCATACGGAGGTCGCTTGGATCTCCTGGTCCTTCTCCCTGACCACTTTGGAGAGCCTGACGGTTGTCCTTTGGAGTTCCTTCACGTCCTTCGCACGTCGCTCAAGCTCCGCTTTTTGGAAGTCCACCGTTCATAAAGCAACATCCTTTTGGCTCAGATACCTGTTTGCCACATCGAACGCTTCTGTCCTTTCAGCTTTGGCGAACTCCAGGCTTTTCTTGAGCTTCGCGACCTCCTCCTGTAGGTCACTGGACCCCTTCGCGGCTCCCAGCCGAGTCTTCTCCATGGACATCCTCATCGCAAGTAGAGCCTGCGAGCAGGAAACGGTTAGAAATGAACCCGAACAATATTTTAAGAACAGCTCGTTTACCTTGCTCATATGCTGGAACGAAGTGGTCATCAGGTCGTCGCCCGTGTCGACGAACTCATCGTAAGACTCCGATAGTCAACACTCAAGCAGAGAATAGACTATCGGCTGCAGGTACTCAGACAGGCTCCCCAGCAAGTCCAGCACTGGTATGTCCTTCGCCTTGTCGGAGGTGATCGCCTCACCTGCAGGCTCCTTGCCCGACCTCCTTAAGTCCCTCCGCGACCTCAAGGGCTCCTCCTCGGATTCGGTTTTAGACTCTTCGGCCTGGACCTGTTTCCTCTTCTTGGACCTTTGGGTAGGGGCCTTATGCCTTGGGCGTGCTGGTGGTGCCTGAGCGACCTGTTCTGCCCTGGTCGCTTCATGCGCAGGGGGCTGCGAAGGTGCAGCAGTTCGCACCGGTTGTGCAGGAATGGGACGAGCAGCTTCTGCCGCTCTCTCCCTCCTCGATCGAGGGAAGACGAAAGGAGCTCGGTGGGGCTGCTCAGACTCCTTCGGGGGCATGGTTTCTGCATTTAAGTTTGTTAGTAAACAAAATTACTTCGCGACCAGGACAGGAATCAACGTAACTTACCTTCCAAGGGTTCTAAAGACGCTTTGTTGCTGAAAAAACCATACTTCCACAAGTTCGCGGTTGTCACAAGCTTCCTCGCATCCCGACTCTCCTCATCCAATACTCCAAAAGATACGGGCCTGTTTGGATCGGCAAGTAAGTTCTGGCTGGTCGTTCTGTTAACTGCAAAAGAAAACAGGTCGTTATTATAGGGCATGCGAACAGATAATATGCCTCACGAGGAATAACCTACTTGGTGTCTGAAAGCGGCAGTGGCCGTCATAGCAGAAAAAGAAGAATTTCGTCTCGTAGGCCCCCTCTTTGTTGGGATAGTTATTTATCCCCTCGGCGATGGTAGGTCGCCGGGACAGGTAGTATGAATCCTTGTCCCTACTCTTTTTGAGGTAATAGGCGACGCCGACCATTGGCTCACCCAAGCCGCTTTCGCAGCACGCGATGTACATCACGACGGAGATGACATACGCGTTTGGCGTGAATTGCATCGGTGCTATCCCGAAATGATCCAAGACTGACCTGATGAAAGGATGGAGGGGAATCCTCCCTCCACCCTTGAAGATCTCTTCGGAGATCGCGGCAAGGCCATCGGCAGGGCGCCGTGACGACCTGGTATGGTCGAGGAACACCTCCTCGCGGACGTCAAACTGCTTTTTTATCCTATCAAATTCCTCTAGGGTGAGAACCGAGAAGACATCAAGGGATGCGTCCTCGGGAACGTCCCGCGAGGATGAGCTAGCCGCTTCCTCGGGTCTGGACGTTGACGGATCCATTCGAGCCTGCAACATCGACAGACACGGTCATTTAGGCCTTCGTGTTTTATCCCGTGCGGCGGCAGGGGACAAATTCTTAAAACCCTAATAGTAACTTGAGCCGCCACTTACGGCTCGAGTCCGGCAACAATGGCACATCTCTGGTAGAACACCGAGAGACCCTACGCCGTTGCCCACCAACCAAACAAAAAAAAAAAAAAAAAAAAAAAAGAGAAGAAGAAGAGAATCTTACCCTCTGAGATGCATAACCGAGGCCGGAACTCGTTTCAGTTGCTTGAGAAGCGCCGATCGGAAAAGAATGATTTCTGGTTTGCAAAGGTTAGTCACTCGAAGCGAAAGGAGTTTTCGTGACCTCATATGAAAAATGTGAGTTTTTATACGGATTGTGAATCGACGGTTACCACTTCTCGGAACCGAAACGACAGTCTCTCTCTCTCCCCGCATTTAATGCGCCCCACGTCGCATTAAATGCCTTGATAGGAGTCATCGTTTCAAGTGCGTTGTGCAGTCAGAGCTATCGAAACGACGCCGAGTCAGCACAGCGCATTTAATGTTCCTGGCAGACACTGCGGCACATGCAAAGCGCCTGACAGCGTGGATACAGGTTCATTGAATCTCTCCAAGGCACGTAAAGGAGCGCCCAACGAATCCAGGTCGTTAAAATGACGATTCTCAGGTCGCTTGGGCAAGAACTGTGCGAGGTCGTGTTCGCCGAAGGTCATGTCCCGAGCTTCTTCTATTCAGGTCGGAACAACCAAAACCTCCAACCGCGGCATGACTTAGTTTCCAAGGTTCGACCCTCAAACCTTACAAACTAGGGGGCTTCTGTTATGACTAAGAAATCAAAGGCTGACGTGGAGTTGCGTGACGAAACGTGGCCTGCTCCCGTCAGAACGGTAAGCGCACGTTAGGCCTGCCAAGTGCCCTAGTGCTCCCACGTGTCCGCTAGCCTGCTCCAGATCGCGTGAAATCGGCTTGGAAAATGGGTAATGGGACGTAAAATCAGATTAGGTTCTGACAATCACACCAACCCAAGGATTTGGTGATGATTATGCACATTCAACTGGGTATAAGAAGAGGAAGACCCCTCATTAAAGGGATTCGACCATTTTTACACAAAAACTCCCTCTCTCACGCTTTTGTATCTATTTCCCAACTTTTTGTAAGTCAGTCCGCTGTCGCGACCTGACCCACACTATCAATATCAATACAAATCAGTGGACGTAGGACTTGCTACCTTAGCATCCGAACCACTTTAAGAACCCTCATAGCATTTATTTCGCTTTTTATATTCATTTTCACGTGTGTTTTTTGATCAATCAACGCCACGCACGTAACAATTAGTTGGTGCAAAAATCCAGCATCAACAATATTACTCCTTTCTATGAACTATGCAGCCATATATTTTTTAACCTTCAAATTTTTGGAGTAATTGATTTGTGGGAATATGTTCTTTCGAGAGAAGAGACGGGCTTATATGTTCAAGTCAAGAAATTAAGCCCGTCTCTTCTCTCGAAAGAACTTATTCCCACGAATTAACTCCAAAAAATTTAATGTTAAAAAAATATATATAGGTGAAAAGTAATGTTTACACGAAGCCCCAAGATAAATCTATAATTTAAGTTAAACTATATTTTCTTCATATATAAGTTATAACCCTAGTTTGGAGAATGATCAGGTATTACATAATGGCATTGTTTGGTTTTAATTAGGCTAGACTAATTATATATGATTCCCAGCTATTAATATTCCAAGCAGGCCCCCTTCATGCATGGAGCTTTCTCAACCTCTAAATAATGGTTTCTGTTTCTACTATGCATGTTACGTAAAGAGAGTAGAAAAATATTCATAATGTTAACAAATGCCAACACGTTTCAAAGAAGTATGCAATATCTTTTGGATCCTTCATCACCAGATAAATTGCTTAGCTTCAAAATGGTTTCTGTTTCTACTATGGAATGTTACGTAAAGACAGTAGAAAAAACATTCATAATGTTTACAAATATCAACACGTTTCAGATATCGACAGTCGGAATTCTTTCTTTTGGATTTTATTTACATAGGAAATGCAAATTCTCGGCAGTGGGACAGTAGCAACAAGAAAATTATGGTGCATAGTCTGTTAACTGACAAGTGATGTTTATAGATAAAATAAAGATGGGAACAGATTCAAGATTTAATCGGTGGCTTACTTACAAATTAATCAATTGACAATTATACATGACACAGTTAATCCTGGTTGAACAAATGAAATAAGATTCAGCAACGTGACTTGCTGGTTATGTAAGAAAATTTACATTTACAACAGCTCCGAGGATTTTAATATTCTGGACATAATTAAGTAGTAAAGCAGAATATTAATCACATTCTCAAATTAATTCTCTGTGATCTGGTGTCGTGGATTGAAGGAATATTTGGTTTATCTATGTTTGCTATAGCATCACTTGTTTATATAGTTTTATTGGTAAATATAAATATGGGAATAAAATTTCCCAGGTAGGTAGGGATTTTTTTCTTTGTGAAGTCTGTATTTTTTGCAAACACGAATTTGGGTAGAGAGTTCATTACCTCGGTCAAGTGGTGGCTGTGTCATTCATGGCTATTGCTTACATTGCTGCAACATGAGTGACCATGCCGCATTGTATAGAATCAGGATGGATGTTTGAGGTTCTACTGGCTATCAGTGTCGGGACTGCAGGAACCGTGTTCGTGTATCTGGACTTGTGCTGACAAGACATTGGTTGAGGAAGTTGAAGTGGAGGAAAGAGAAAGGTAAGAGGAGGAGAGCAACTGCAACCATTCAAGGTAAAGCTCAGTCACAACATGACAGAACTAATGCTGCAGGAGCAATCTATTCAGAATCCACCATCTCAGATGTTGACAGTTCCACCTCATTAGGATATCATGCATATTGAAAGATTTTAAATCCACAAAGATTAATGTCAAGTCTTTCTTTTCTTTTCATTTGGAGAAGGCCGAAAATCGTGTGTCAAACAAATTAAATAGTTCTGCTAACTGCTATGCCAATATTTACGAGGAAAAACCTTTCAGAATTAGATTCTTCAGTTCTTCAATATTGCCTAGAATTTAGCTACAGCAGTGATTTAACCACTATTGAAAAAGTTTAAGTGAATCGAAATAAAGCCAGAGCAAAATGCTAAACTTAGTTACTTGGTTTGAATAAGTAACCCTCTCCAAATTACGAAGACAGAAAGATCAACTCACTCCAATATTTTGATTGAATAACTTCTCAATGAAAGCTCCTTTCCGAGTGCTTGGAATTTGCACCATTGCCTTCCTTAAACTCTCCGTGACCTTTCCAAGGAGGCTCGGCAGGACTTTGCTTGCGGATGGAGAGAGGACTTTGCAGGTGGTTCCTCTCTTCTTCAGCTGCTCAAACTCTTCTGTTTATCTCTTGTAGACCACAAAGCATGAATGCATGATTAATAGCATTAAAATTTGGAATGGTAAAAAGTATGGATAAAATATCAAAGACTATATAAAATGCCATGGTCCAATATGTTCGTTGCATGGTTCCAGTGTTGTCCTTTGGAGAAGACGCCCAAAGAAATGAACTTACCTTGTAGTAACATGATTGTAATTCTTCTTTTGCTTCCCATCCTTCTCATTCCGTAATGTGGAGAACTCAGACAGGTGAGACACGTGTAGAATGAGCAATTATTTCAGCTGGTATATTGTATTTCCTTGATCCTTCACATGCACCAAAAAAAAAATATGTACACCAAGTTTCCTTTATGTACACCAAGTTTCCTTAATAAGGAACAAAAAGTATTTTAATATCCATATAAGCATTAACACACCTCAATGAGTAATCAAAGGATTTTTTCGAGCAAATGAAGAAGCTACCTACACGATTGATCCCTCATAAGGAATACCCAAATTATGGAAAATATTCTCTTTTTTTTTAAACAGCTTTTGACTAGTCTGAATCTATTTTTACATTGTGCTATCCTCTCGCTTGTGAGCAACAAAACAGTCAAGACAGTTGGAATAACAAATCTGTGCCGCCTCTGAAATGAATATACCCCTGTAATTAATAATTAAAGCATTAAAAATGACATGGTTTCTTATTTCAGGTGCCAACATATCAGATACATTTTCAAACTTTGTGGCATTATCAGCAAACTTACATATAATTAATAATTAGATTAAAAATGTTACGTAGTTCTTAGAGATTAGAAATAATAACAAAGAGCATACATAAGTACTACCTGTGGCTTGTGCGTTGATGGTTATTGCTGCAGATTTCGACATATAAAATCAATTTGGATGTTAGGGATGTGAGAGATTTTGGGCCAGGCCAGTCCAATTTCCTTATTGTATCGTTCTTCTTGAATAGGAGATTCAGTTATCTCTAATTCCTTGAGTGTTGTCTCCTGGCGAAGGTTGTTTGGCTGTATGCCACTAACTGTATAATCACCTTTTTCTTTGTCAATAACATTTAACCACAATGTCATTACGTAAAACAACTTCCTTGAAGCCGAAGCAAATAGGATCAAGAGCCTCCACACAAGCTTATCAGCAAATCTTTCAGTTTCCTTTCATTAAACGCAAGTTTGTTTTAGACACATTGTCTGTACATGGAAAAAAATGAATAGTACAATGCCTATTATCAATAACATGTAGTATGAAATAGAAATATGGATCTCATGTCAGCTCACCAAGTTGAACAAGACATCAATCGGGCATTTGCTTTATCAGATGCGGTTTCTGTTAATTACAAGAGACGCTGTGAAGTTTGCTTGATTGGCCAATAGTATTAAAAGTAAATGGAAAAGAATAGAGAGAGGTAAACAAGTATAACTAACCAATTTGTTTAGAAGCATTAGAAAGCAGAGGCAATTAAGAAAAAGGAAATAAACTCAAGGCTTCTTGAGGCAGTTTGTAACCATGATATAACTGCTTTTGTGAATTTAGTTCAAGGCAACAAAGAACTGATTATCACCTGAACACGGTGTTGAAGTTGTCGTCCAGGTTCAGGCACAACCAATTGGTAAAGGATATCATTGAGCTGCATCCTGAAATGGTTGCAACTGTGAACAAGAAGCTTGAGATTCCATTGCATGAAGCTTATTGTTAAGGGAAAGCCGAAGTGGAATGCTGCTCTAGGAGACTAATCCGTGGACAGCTACTAAGCTTAACCATGATAACGGAAGTGCATTTTCGTAGCTTGCAGAGAAAGGGTATCTTGATGTGGTGAAGCTCATGATGAAGCAACCTGGCTAAAGGAATTTTAAGAAGATGAGGATGATTTAACTGCTCTGCATGTTGCCACATCAACGGGGCACATAGGTAACACAGAAATACATTGCACTGTGCTTGTAGCAGAGGATACTTGGAGATAACAAGATTGTTCTTGAGGGTTCACCAATACCTTACTCTGCAATACAATGAAAATGGTTACTCCACATTGCACTTTGCAGAAGTGATGCTAGAAATGATGATGAAAGCAAGGAGTTTAAGAAAGCCTTAAGAGCAGCCGCTGGTAAATTAAAGAAGCACAGAATTGGCAACTCTCTCACCAGGGGTCATAGAAATGCATTCTCAACTGCCGATGCTTGAAAACTCCAAAGGGTTGATAGGGGCAACAGTGTAAACTGCCCTTAGACTTCCAACTTTGCAAGCAGCCAGGAATTGTGCCTACATCAAGCTCAAGTGTGTCAGCCAAATCTAGAAAAGTATCAGAAAAATATGATAGCCGTGACAGCACCCTAATAAAAAAACATATCCAGAAACAAAAACCGGATATGCTCACCACCTGGCCTCGGCACAAGCGTATCAACAAATCTTGTGGTTTCTTGCCTACATCAAGCATGGAACCAATATGAAGAGAGGAGTTGGTTCAGCTTCCATCCTGAAGAAACCAGAAATTCAAGATGATAAGCAATTAGAACCAGTTACCTTGACAGAAGAAAAAGATTTGCGCAATCTGAAATTCAAGATGATAAGCAATTAGAACCAACATTGCATTTTTCACAGCTTTATGCATTGTTGTTGTTCTGTGGATGGCTTGTCATCTTTCTGCATTCACATCTTTACAGTAAGCAACAACATTGATTACTCACAGGGTCCTGCGGATGACATTTTCGTTGACAGCTATTGCTTACGTTGCTGTGACATGGGAAACCATGCCACGTTGTAGAAGGTGAAGATGGATAAGTGAGGTTCTAAAGGCTCTCAGTGCTGGGACTGTTGTAACCATGTTCGTGTATTTGGGACTTCTTCTGTAAGCCTAATCATCTTCTCCTCTGTTGTAGTGCTAAAAACTGAACTGAGACACATAAATATTTGCTTTGGGGTTAAAAGTATAAAAAGTAACAATTGCACTTAAAAAGTAAATCAATAATTTATGCAAAGTTATGCTATATATTTCATCCTAAGCTATGATAAGAGCTCTGTGGATGAAATATCATTGTTGGTTTAAATAACCTTTTTAACGCCCCGCCCCACACCCACCACCTGGGTAAAAGGTAAAAAGAAGCTCAATATTTGTACCTGCTTCTGGCTGTTCTGAAAATCCAGGTTATTATTTTTCAGATTACTGTCAAACTTCCCTAGTATATTATCTCCGAAAAAATATGATTAACATAAAACAGAAAGCTTATGGAGAAAACTAAACCAGAACTCAAATAGATGATAAAGTGAAAGCCATTACTGCAAATCTTCTTCTCTTCTTCTGCTGCTCACATTCTGCTCTTCTCTGTTGTAGACCACAATGCATTAAATTCTGATTACTAGCACTGAAATCAGGAGTGATAAGAAGTATGGATAAATCAAAAACTCTATTACCTGCATGGTTTCAGTGTTATCCTCCGGAAAAGGCGCCTTGACAATGTCTTTAACTTGGGACAGCATCCAATTACAGAAGAATTAAGTCATAACATTACTGTAGTTCTTCATTTTCTTCCCTCATCCTTCGGATCTGGTAATTGGAGATATGGAGAAAAAATAACAGATGAAGACAAGCTTCCCGAAAATTTCATCCCAAAAAACTAAAGATAAAAAATTGACCTTACCAACCTGAAGTCAGCAGGGAAGAGAAGTGAAAACCAGTGCTTCTTTAATTAGGTATATTGTATGACCTTGATTCTTGAAGAAATGTTTAATGACATCATGTTAAAGTTGCTTCTCTGCACCAAAAAAGAAAAAAAAAAAAAAAAAGAACAAAAAGGAAACAAAGAGTAATTTAATATCCATATAAGCATAAGCAAACCTCAAAGAGCCATCAAGCTGCATGATCAATCCAAAGGTAGGACTAACAGAAGTACAGAAAAATGCACCTTTTGTAACTGCTTTTGACTGGCCTTAAACTGCATACTTTCTTTTCTCCACCTAAGACAAAATTAAGGATGTTATTCTGGGATAACTATTAAGGAAAAAAATGATTATGAAACAGAGAGCTGGTCACCTTGTGCTACTGCTATCCTCTGTCTTGTAAGCATTGATCCAAGACTAATAACTTTCTACCTCTAAAATGAATCTACCCCTGTTACATTGATTGAGTATTAATTAAAGCATTTTAAGTAAATTTCGTAGCTGAAATAACCGTACCCAGCAACCTTAACATTTACAATAAGTAATTTGTTAAAAATAATAATAAGATGGAGTGATAGATTATTAAAGAAGAAATTGAAAAGATAAGTTTTGTAGTGTTGGTCCAGACAATAATATAACAATAATTTGATTAAAAAAAAAAGTGATGTCGTTCGTAGATTAGAAGTAATAACAAGGAGCATTCATAAGTAATTACCTGTGGCTAGCGGGTTGATGTTTATCCCCGCACGAAGCCGCATGTATTACTGATTTGGATATTAGGGATGTGAGAGATCTTGTGCCAGTCCTCTCCTGTTCCCTCTTTGTATCGTTCAAGTAGAATATCACTCCTAGAAATATTCAATTCTTTGACTGCTGTTCTCTGGAGAAGGCTGTCTGGAAGTGCCTTTAATTTGGGGCAATACTCAATTTGCAAGGTAGCAAGACAAGGCATGAATTTAATATGTTCCTTATCTTCTCCCTTCTTTGCATTGTCGTTGTCCCACTCTTCCCATTCGTTCATATCCCAAAATTCAAGTTTTTCCAATTTGGGGAAGAAATAAGAGGATGAAGATGATGAAGAGGTTCCACTTTCCATTCCCCAAAGCACACTATCCACTTTTTTCACATGCTTAAATTGTATAGATAGTCTTTCAAGGGACGGCAGTTTCCCCAAATGGATGCAAATTCTTACAATTGGAAACATGCCAAAGAAATAAAGACTTCAGCTTGGTTAATGACGTGATCCAAGTGGAGGGAAAAGTGTTGCCTCTGTAGTCTTTTATCTTCAGCCACTCTAATTTTGGAGGTGGTAGTAAGGCTTCGAGGACTAATTCATAATCTTCACATGATACCCCTCCTCCAGGAGTTATCAACTGGAAACTTCTCCTTTCCATCTTTTTCCACTTATAAAACTGCAGAGTCAGACGAGTGAGGTTTTCCTTATTCGTAAGTAGTTGGTTAATTTTACCATCACTCGCAATTTTCACAAATCCCAACCCTCTTATTGTAAGGCTCCCTTGATCAAGATTATTCAAAAATTTCAATCCTTCGAGACTACATGCTTTGCTGTCATTATCACCTTCACTACTTATACCGAAATCGCTCGATGTTTGAAGACCAGTTAATTTCTCAATCCCTTTCGGAATGTAAAGTAGTGCCAAACAACCATAATTTATTAATCGCCTCAAATTTACTAATTTCTCTATCCCTCGAGGTAATTCAACTATATCAAGACAATCATTAATGTCTAAAGTGTGCAAATTATATAATTCGCTCAAGCTTTCTGGTAATTGTACTATATATTGTGAACTTAAATCAAGATATCTTAAATGAATCAATTTTTTTATATCTTTTGGAATCTCTTCAACTCTATAATTCGGGAATCTCAATGACCTTAAACACGTCAATTTACATAAATTTTGTAAAACATCACCGGACAATGCATTTTCTCTGTCATCACTAATCATGAGGAGACTACGTAGACTTTTGACACTACAAATGGACATGGGAAATGAAACCCCTTTATTAACCTTTAACATTAAATGACGAACATTTTTGTTAGAAGAGTTTATAAACGGATCATTATCACCAATATTGACTTCTATAGCAAGACACTCACCATTACTCAAAAATAGCGCAAAGTCATGCACTATATCATGCATCTTACAAATATATATAACATCTTCATATTTTGAAAATTCTTGGAAGAACGATCGTGTTGCCAAGTGGTGAAAATACTCTTCACCTATTGTCTCTAACTTTGTATCTTTTTCTAACCCCAAATAACCTTGTGCCATCCATAATTTAATTAATTTATCTTTTCCTATACGTTGATCTTTTGGAAAGATAGCACAATAAGAGAAACATTTTCTTATCGAGGATGGCAAATCGTTATAACTCAACATCAAAGGGGATAGAAGACCCTTTTCAATCTCCTCTAATTTCCACATCTCACTATGCAAAACACGTTGCCATTCATCTCTACTCCTTTTAAACTGCAAAAGACTCCCGATGGTTTTTGTAGCAAGAGGTAACCCCTTGCACTTCTTAACGATTTCCCTACCAATTTCTTCTAATTTTTCACTCTCATGAGTAGGTCTTTTAGAAAGAGCTAGCCTCCTAAATAGTAACCAATTCTCATCAAAGGACAATTCTTCAACATTGATAATATCAATTGACTTCATAATATGTGCAACTGACTTTTTACGTGTGGTAATTAAAATTTTACTTCCATGGAGACCATTCTTCAAACAATGATAGAACGGTTCCCATTTTTTGTGATCTTCATTCCATACATCATCTAAAATAAGAAGAAATTTATTACCCGCAATAGAGTCATGAATACGTTGAAGAAGAGATTGTAGATCTCCTACATTAGGAGGAGGAACTTTTAAACCTTCAATGATCACTCTAGCGATCTTGAACTCATCAAAAAGATCTGAGACACACACCCAGATTATTGATTTGAAATTGCTCTTTATTTCACCATTATTATACGCATATTGAGCGAGAGTTGTTTTTCCAATTCCTCCCATCCCTACAAGTGAGATGATTTGGAGGCGTTGTTCACTACTCCCACACAATAACTTGCGTACTAAATTATTCTTCTCAACATCTCTACCACATATATCAGATACATCGATAAAAGTGGTAGTTTGCATTCGTTGATAATTAGGTCTCTCATTAGTTGGAATGACATTAAGATTATAATCACCTTTCTCTTTTGCAATAGCATCTAACTTTTTATTTATCTCTGTTATCCTAACCGCAATATTATGACGTAAAACAACTTCTTTGAAGCCAAAGCAAGGAGAGGGAAAAAGGCAACATACCTTTTTCTTAGGAGCAAAAGCATTATGAACATAACCTCCCTCAATTTTGAGTTTCATGATTTCAGTGTTCCACTCATCCAACACATCTTCCACGTCATAGCATGCGTCTTTGAGCCGATTCAACCAAACTCTCACAGCTCTATTATTCATTTGTTTTTGGTTAGCATCAAGTAGCACAGCTTGAATGGCTTGAAGATTGTTCTTAAGCTTGTCTACTTCTTCGTCAACGTCTCCCACTAGCCTCACCTGTTCTCCTATGAAGCCAGCAGTTGGAAGTAGAATTGAATCCAGCAGCTCCAAGGAAACCGAAACAACTGCTTCAGCCATATTCAGATATGATCAATAATATGAAAGAGAAGAAATGGAGATACCTGTTTCGTATGCTTTTGTGTTATAATTAGTGAATGCTGCCATCCATACATATACTATCCTAAAATTTATTGCACATTGCAGAAGTCAACCAACCGCATTTAATATTGAAATGTATTTTTCCAATTTTTTTTCTTTTTTTTCCAATATGTGTGAAAGTAACGTAATTGTTATCATTAATTTTGGGATTTTTTAAAACCCTCCGAGATTTGCCGAAAACCATAAATCCCCTCAGGTACTAGTAATTACGTTCAACTCTTTGCCGTCAAATAGTTACCTTTAACATGATAAAGGGTAAAAGATAAAGTTTTATATTTATTAAGTTTTAATACTATTACACCCCTGAAGCTCGCAAACTTTATTTTTTTTTTTAAATCCCCTTTAATTTTTCTTTTTTACCCCCTGCCATCAGTTTATTCTTGTTAAATATGAGAGTTGATTAATTTTGACCAAACACGGTTATTTATTTACACTAATTATATTTTGAACTTGACTATTTTACCCTCAAATTGATTATCAACTCATTTTTAAATTTAAAGAGAAAGTAAAATAACAATTTTCTTTTTTAAATTCATAAATAATACAAACCCTTAAAATAAAATTACAAATATTTAAATAATAAAAGGAAATTTAAAATACTTTTAAGAATTTAGAAAAATTAAAAATACTTAAAAAAAAAACTAAAAAAAAAGCCAAAATCTAAACAATATTTGTGCAACTGCCAACTTAGCAATTGTGTGTTTTTTTTTTTTTAGATTTTTTTAATTTTTTTAACTTTCTAAAGTTTTGCAATATTTTTATCTTTTTTTATTTAGATATTTCTATTTTTCCAAATTTTTTATTTTTAAGTTTTTCAAATTTTTTAGTTTCTTTTTTTTTTTTAATATAACAATTTGTAATATTTATATAATTTAATAATTTTATCTATTATGTCTAACATGTAGGGGAGGGGGCTGGGCTGGGTTAGTCTATCATAAAATTATATAATTATCAACAATTCATAAAAAAATAAAAAACTCTTAAACCTAACCCACTCATGACTCACCCACATCGTGGCTCCTCTCTTCCTCCATATCCCACAATCTCCCTCTTTATCACCCATAGTCACCGCCCCTCTCTTGCTCTCTAACCCATTGTCGCCACTTGTATCAAACCCCATACCCAACAGCTGCTAGTCCTCTCTCCCTCCCAACCTGGATGTCATTGGCCCGTCGGTCTCAAAATCTCCCAACTTATAAGTTAAAAGTAAATATTTAAATTAGTCAACTTACAAAACTCTCTTTTTAATCGTATCTAAAATTTAAATTATACATAAACAATTTATAATTTTTTCTTTTATAAAAAACCCAACAAGGATAAATTAAAAAAAAAAAATACAAATTAAACCACTTAAAAAACTATTTCCAAGTAATTGTACATGAAATTTCAAATTATTCAATAGATTTAACTCTCAAATAAGGCCATAAGAACAATACATACATGCAATTGTACTCTTGTATGGCTTGAATTTTAGTGCTCTCAAGCATGTCAATTCACATAGCTTTCCTTTCCTTTCCTTTCATTCCAAGTTACTTTGTCCCCCACTCGATTAACTTTAAGCCAAGGGCTATCTTCTTTCAAAACAATTTTGTCCCTCACTTATGATGTGTTGTTAGTTTAGAAAAAGAAGAAGAAAATTGGTCAAAAGATGTTCTTTCAATCAGTAAAATTCTAGGAAATTTTTCCATGTATGGGGCCCAAATTAATCTTATTCAAGAATGGAGGGTGTATATAAATCATAATTTATTTGTTATATATTATATATATATATGCATTGACTTAAGTCAATTTTAAATAATTCTATAATTTTCTAGTGATTGAAAGAGCATCTTTTGCTTTGAAATGTTGTCTACATAAATCGACCCCGAATGGATTAAATTTAAACATGTAAGTTTTAGAGGAGACAATTGGAATGAAATTAATTGAGTTCTTTAATCTCTATAGAGTATTAATGGGCCGTAAAGAATTCAAAAACCAATACGTAGGCCTTCTTAAAAATAGAAATACCATATTGTTAAAAGCAGGGACACAATCATATAAATTAAAGATGAATAAATTAAATGAAGAAATAATGAACTGACCATTACTGTCTAATGGCTTAATTAATCACATACGCTTCAATTGTACTGCAACATACAACTTTAAGACAATAAATATTTTCTTTCATATTGAAAGTTAAAGCCATGAATAGAAATTCCTATTAACAAAAACGAATAATTGCAATTAAAACTATATCAGGTAATTAATGTATATGCTCAAAGTATCTTACAGACAGAATTTAGGGAAAATTGAGAAGCTCCCTTAAGCTACATAATTGGGTTTAGGGAAAATGCTCTCTTCTAATTTTGGCGCTTTTGAATGTTAAAACCTGATACAAAATTATGTATCTTTTCTAGTGTAATCTATTGTGCACCGTAAAGAAACAACAAAAATATTTATAGGATCCTTGGGATGAAGTCTCTTGTCTTGTAATTAATCAGGAAGCGCATTTGAAATGAAACAAAACGTTTATAATACACAAACTCTTTGTGTGCCGAAACAATATGGTGCATTAACTAAATGTTTGAACTTAATTGAAAACTATCTTGACCATCAGAGAATTGAATACAAAGGAAATGGCATCTAAGGCTTTTAGAGGTCATCGCCAACAAATTTAACTGATAATCACTTAAATACACTATTACTTACAATCTCACTTCAAATGGTGAACGATATCGTAGAGTTACATCCTGACGTGTGGAAAACAAGAAGCTCCAAATTCCATTGCATGAATGAAAGCTTGTCGTCAAGAGAAAGCTAAGGGTTGTAATTCTGCTCTTGGCTACTAATCCATGGTTATCCTTGAAGCTGAATGTGCATTTTCCATGACATGCAGACGAGGGCATCTTGTTTGATGGATCAAATGATGGCACCGATGAATGCTTTTTGACTTTTTGTTGATGCAGAAACTGTTCAGAACACATTAGAGTTGTGTCCGAATTCTACTAAAAGAGAAAACAAAAATGGATTTGATCCATTGTGCAGGTTGTATCACAGGATATTCTTGGAGATAACAAGATTGATTTTGAGCCTTGACCCAGACCATGCTCTGCAATACAATTACAAGTTGCACTCAGAGTTCCAATCCATGAAGATTTATTGTTGAATTCTCCTGCTTCCTTTCCGTACCTGAAAAAAGAGAGGGTAACAGTGTGTCATTTTGCTGTAAAATTCAAACAATATGATACAAATTGTGACATTAAGAAGCAAATATTACTTACAAGATTGCTGTAGTTGTTAGTGTTTTGTTAATGCCGGTTGTTCAAAGAAAAAAGAGAATGAATAAAAACTGGACTACTTTTCATTAGACAAAAATCTGAATATAACATGCTGTTGTTTACTGTTTCAACTACTATCAGAACTTTCACTTAATCTCAGCTAAGCCACTCACTTCTAACAACTTCGTTACAAAATAAGATGAGTCAACTAATTCAAAATTAAAACTAAAATATACAGAAGGACTTAAGCTACTGAACTCTAGAACAGCACCATGCACGTCCATCCATAGCAGCAAAACAACTTCAAACTTTCAGCAAATCTTACTTCCAGCACAGCACCAACCTTCAACACCCCACCTTGGTGCTTTAGTTGGAAACACCAAGTTTTAGCCTAAAGGCTTCAAACTTGGATTTGCACAATGCCTTTGTCATAATGTCAGCAACCTGATCTTCCCCTCTACAGTGCACTAAGGTTACTTCCCCACTCTGTTCAGCTTCCCTAACAGCATGATACTTGATCTTAATATGCTTAGTTCTGCCGTGGAGTACAGGATTCTTTGCCATTGCCACAGCTGACTGGTTATCACATAGGATTAGCGTAGGACCACCCTGCACTTGGTGCAAGTCATCCAACATTTTCCTCAGCCACACAACCTAGTTCACTGCTGCTGCAGTAGAGACATATTCAGCTTCAGTAGTAGACTGTGCCACAATCTCTTGCTTCCTTGACAGCCAACTGATTGCACCCTTATTCAGGTAAAACACATAACCAGAGGTGCTTCTTGCATCATCCAGGGATCCAGCCCAATCATTGTCAGTGTACCCCAACAATTTCAGACTTTCAACCTTCCTAAAACAGATGCCTAACATGATGGTTCCCTTTACATACCTCAGCACACGTTTTGCAGCCTTGAAGTGCAGTTCACTTGGGTTGCTAATAAACCTTGAGAGATAACTTGCTGTGAACATAAGGTCAGGTCTGGTGGCTGTATAATACAACAAACTTCCCACTAAGCTTCTGTATTTTCCTTCATCAACCCTCTCTGCACCATCTGTTTTGCTTAATTTTAGGTTAGGAACCAGTGGAGTATTCACTGGTTTGCAATTCTCCATTCCAAACCTCAAGAGAAGCTCGGTTGCATACCTTTGTTGACACACAAAAATCTCACCAGCAGCCTGATTTATCTCCATGCCAAGGAAGTACTTCATCAATCCCAAATCTGTCATTTCAAATTCAGCTTGCATATCCAACTTAAACTGGTCCAATTCATCAGGATTACTCCCTGTCACCAACAAGTCATCAACATAGAGAGAAACTACAGCTACTCCTTTCTCAGTTTTCCTAATGTAGAGAGTGTGTTCATTAGGACTTCTAGTGTATCCAAGGCTGCATAAATGGTCATTTATTCGGCTGTACCAGGCTCTAGGGGCCTGCTTCAAGCCATACAAGGCCTTCCTCAGTAGGTACACATAGTCCTCCTTTCCTTCAACCTTGTAGCCTTCGGGTTGCTCTACATACAGCTCCTCTGAAATCCATTCATTTAGGAATGCTGACTTGACATCCAGCTGGAAAATTTTCCAGTTGAACTGAGCTGCAAGTGCCAATAGCAGCCTGATTGTGTCTTGCCTAGCAACCGGGGCAAAAGTTTCTGAAAAATCAATGCTTGGTTGCTATGCAAAACCCTTCACCACCAGCCTTGCTTTGTGCTTGTAGATTGAGCCATCAGGGTTGATTTTCAGTTTGAAAATCCATTTCACCTAAATGACTTTCCTTTTTTCAAGTCTTGGTACCAATTTCCAGGTTTGATTTTTATCAATCATACTCAGTTCTTCCTGCATTGCAGCCCTCCACAATTCAGATTTTGCAGCATCAAGGTAGCATCTTGGTTCCACCACTGCCATATTACACCTATCATACACATCGGCCAGAGTTCTAGTTCCTCTAACAGCATGTTCTTCTTCCTCATCTGAATCTGCCTCTTGAATCAGTCCCTCATTTCTCTCATTCTGACTTGATTCAGCCTGCACATCAACCCTTTTTTCTTCCCATTTCCAGACTCCACATTCATCAACCTTTATGTCCCTTGTGATTACAATCCTTTTGGACTCAGGAACATTAACTCTATAAGCTTTAGAGTTGCTGCTGTGGCCTATAAATATCCCAATTTCTGCCTTGTCATCCAATTTGGACCTTTTGCTGGTTGGGATCATCACATAGGCTATGCTTCCAAATTCTTTCAGGTTCTGTACTGCTGGCTTGACTCCACTCCATGCCTCATTTGGGCTAACCCGACCTAGACCCAAATATTTACAAATCAATTCTAAACCCAATTACTAATTGGGCTTATTGTCAAGGGGGTGCTGCCCCCTCAACCCCACTCACTTAGTAGCAAGTGAGACCCCATAATGCGTCAACGTAAGCCGATAATCCGCCAAGTCTATGCAAAGTATGAACCATATCCAACACAACACATAAACTTTCAGCTAACTTTTCCACAGAATTTCCTCATACTAGCCTTGTTAGCATGACTAGCAAATTGATTCTGCATTTTTAAGGAAAAAACAGAACTTGTCACACAATGGAATGATTTGGTTTCAAATAACCACCAATAAATGAAGAAAAACACAGAGCATTGAGAGAAAGTATTATAAATAACTAACCTTTTGAGTCCAAAGACCAATTTTTGTGGTGGTGTCGTTTAAAATCAATGTAACAATGACTTGTCATTAAAATAGCTTCTTCTTTTTTTCTCCTCTGCGAATGGAAAGTAGCATACCTTAATTAAAAAAATTGCATCTAAACACTAAAATCAGATAATTATTTTTTTAGAAATGGGGCTGTGACCTTTAAGATATATTGACAGAGATTATATAGCATATTTCAAGGTTATCAATAGCAATTTATTTTGGAAGCTCACCAAGCAAATGTGGAAACTAGACATGGAGCACTTGAGCCTCAATGAAGTTCCAGGAAATATTGACCAATAGAATTTGGTCCTTCAGTACTTCCTCTGCTGATTGGTACAGGAGCTTTAAGTTCTTGGAATAGCTAGCATGAGTAGTAAAGGAATTCTGGATATTAAAAGAAGCATGACAGCCAAACAGTTCTATGATATACACACTCTCTGATTAGAACTTAAACAAATGAAGAAACAAAAAACAGATCAGTGACAAGCAAGACTAACCAATTTGATATGTTTAGCAAGGAAATGGCAAACAAAAAATAGAAAATTCTCAACATATTTAGCCGTAGTAGCAAATCAATTCTGCATATGAGGAAACACACCATCACCAGTCAAATATCTTCAATATGCTTTTTTATTGAACATATATAAATGAGAGAATTGAAGGAGAATTACCACGCATAACTAGTTAATTTGGTCTTTGGGATAGATAAAAAATTTGATTCCTTTGTATTAACTTCCTGGAACCATTCTCCACGATACAGAAGTTAGAAAAATATTCTGGTGTAACTGCTTCTGAGTAGTCTGAAAATCTTCCATCCTTAATTGTTCAACCTGGTAGAAACTAAGGCTGTTATTTCCTATTCTCGACCAATGCATCCTTTATTGACCATCGAATGCTAGAAAAACATCCTGACATGAAAATATATTATTTACGAGATTACAAATGGAATTAATGATATAATTGATCATGGTCAAATCCTTTCACTTGTCAAAAGTTCTTTAAGAAACCTTGTCTAAGAAAAGATTGTACTTGCTTAGGACATTAAATACCTATTAGGAATTAGAATTCTCTTTCGTACAAGGTCCTAAATGAAGTTTCTACCATTAATAAGTTGGTGCTTGACAACTGCTTTGACCTTAAACTATCCTCTGCTAATCATTGACAAAATTTTGAAATACTAGCCTTGCCGGCATGACTAGTAAATTAATTCTGGATTTTAAAGAGAAAACACAACCAGTCACACGATTGAATGATTTGCTTTCAAATCGAAATCAATAAATAGAGAGCATTGCGAAAGTGGAGCTATGAACATTAAGAAGTATTGACAAAGGTTACATAGGATAATTTGAGATTGATTGCTCCCGGTCAATTTTGTCCCCTGTGATACAAAGCTCTGTGGATGGAAATTAATGATTATTTTAATAAGCTAAAAGAGAATAAACTATTTTAATATATGGTGACATTTGATGGAGAAAGTTCATACAAAAAGAACCTCATTTTGCCATGTTCCTGTTACACATCATCTTCTGACCTTAAATTTCTTTAGACTGCGAGACAGATAAACTTGCATCACTGCAATAAAATCGATGTATTCAAATAATCATCTTTCTATATCAACAACTGAAATTACATTCGAGAGTGTAGAGAAATCATGCTATAGCTTGTCAGTTGTTACATACCACCAGTTTCTTTGATTACATCATGCCAACCATGATGCTGGACTTGTCACCACAATGCATCATTGGATGACCACTTAATACTAAAAGCACACTGTGACATGAAATAGAAACTATTATATAGGATTAAAGATATTCTGTATGTGAAGCAGAAATGCTTTCCCCAATCACAAGTTCTTTTCAGCAACATTGGTGGAAAAAATGATATATACTCATAAGATAATTCCTATTGTCAATAGCAATTTATTTTCAAGAAAGATACAAAGCATGAAGGAAATGCAAATGTAAAATTGAGGAAGCCCACCAAGCAAATGTGGAACCTAGACATTGAGTTCTTGAGTATTTTCTCTGCTGATCAGTAACAGAGTATTTATTCTCAGCATAGTTAGCCTGAACAGCTAATCAACTGTGTGTGAATAAAAACAGGATAATCAGCTAAATATTCGTAATAGGATTTTTGATTGAACATAAACAAAAAGAAGAAAGAATAGAGAGAAGTTACCAAGAATAACTAACCAATTTGATCTTTGGGGCAAAAACACTATATTGTTCCTTTCCAGCAACTTCAGGTGACCATTCTCCATTTCTGAGTATAGTCATTTAGAATGAGTCCTTCTTCCTCCTTTGGTTGGGAATCTCCCTCCCCTCTATTTTAATGAAAAAACTGCAGTGAGACAAGAAGTATTTGTTTTGGAACTGGAAGTTGAAATTTTGAATATAAAGTTCCATGCCTTAATATTAACAATAGCACTTAAAACACGAAGAATCTTCTCCAGCATGATAAGAGCTCCTGTCATATCTCATCTTATAATTTTCTTCAAGAAATATTTATGATACATTAAACTTTGGTCGCTGCATCAAAACTAAAACAAGGACAAAGGATATTAAGCTTTCTTAATAAGAAATAAAAGCCCTTTCCAATATCCATATAAGCATAAGAAAACCTCAATGAGTCATAAAAGGATCTGAAAGAGCCAATTTAAGCAAATCAAGAAGCTCCCTAACATGCTGCATAATCGATTCAACATTTCAAAGCGTCAAGTTCATTAAGGGAAAACTTCTAAGATGTAACTGCTTTTGAATAGGCCGAAAATCTTTTCCAACCTTAATTGTTCAACCTCATAGAAAACTAAGGTTGTTATTTTGTGATGATTGCCAAACTTCTAAAGGACATAATCAAGATAAAATGGTGACCTTATGCGGAAAATCAAAACGGAGTTCACAAAGCTAGCAGAAATGAAAGATGTTATTGTAAGTCCACCTCTCTTCTCCTGTTGGTCACATTCTGCTATTCTCTGTCTTGTACATCAAATAGCATTATAGCCACTTTGAAACCATTGGAAAAACTCTAACCAATTTGATCTTCAGAGTAAATACCCCACTGGAATCCTTTCCAGGAACTTCCTTGCACCATTCTTTCGAGGTTTGATGTTTAGTTCAGAAAGGCTAAGAGACCAAATATCTGATTATAGCTAACTTTCAATAAAGGTAACTGATTTTGACAAGTCTGAAAATCTTTTCCAACTTCAATTGTTCAACTGATAGAAAAACAAGGATGTTGTTTTGTTATGACTGCTTCCCAAAGACCGAATTTCCAAACAAATAAAAATATAACAGAGGTTACGAAGAAAACAAACTAGAACTCAGACAGGTAACAGAAATGAAAAATATTATTGAAAATCCTCCTCTTCTCTAGCTGGCCATATTCTGCTATTCTCTTCCTCTGCTGCAAGCCACAAACCAAAAATTAGACAGATGTGACTTTTTGCTAAAAATTTAGCTGCGGAACAACAACTTAATATACTTAACAAGTAATATGTTAAAAATATAATAACAATAAGACCAAAAATTTAAAAGACTGATAGTTCTAGGGTGGCTTAGAGACAATAATATAACATATGATCTGATTAACAAATGTATCTAGTTCTGCTATTACAAAGAACAACTAATAAAAGAGGAAGCAATTACCTGTGGCCTTTGGGTTGAACGTAATTGCAGCTGTTTGAGAATTCAATGACCAGGGCCTCCTTGCACATATTGACCGTCAATTTTGATGGTAGAAATTTGAGTGATCTGGGGCCAATGCTCTTCCATTCTTTTTTTGAAATATTGTCTTAAAACAGGACATTCATAAAACTGCAATTTCTTCAATGTTGTCCTCTGGAGAAGGCCGTCTGGCAGTGCTTCTAATTTGCGACAGAAGTTGATTTCCAATGAAGCAAGACATGGCATGATTGTAGTATATTCTTTTTCTTCTCCCTCCCTTATAATCTTATAATCCCACTCTTCCCATTCTTTCATATCCGAAAACTGGAGATATTTCAATTTGGGGAAGAGAATAGCTGATGATGATGATGAAGATCTGCCATCACTTTCTGTTCTCCAAAATTTATAGTCCACTCTTTTCACACTAGAAATTTTACTTATCCTTAGTGATTCAAGAGAGTGTAATTCTCCAAAAGGAGACAAATGCTTACAATTTATGCAAAATTTGAGTCTTAAATGTCTCAACCTGGTTAATGACATCACCCAATCGGAGTGAAAAGTGCTGCCTCTATATGATTGTATATCAAGTTTTTCCAAATTTGGAGGTGGTTGTAAGGCCTTGAGAAGTGATTCATCATGATTTATCCTCTGCTCTTCTTCATCCTCATCGAAGATTATCCCCAAACCAGAGAGGATTTTCTTACTTTTAAGTTCCATTTTCTCAGCCTCACTCACATTTTTCACATTTCCTAACCCTCTTAAGACAAGTTTCCCTCGAAGACGGTTCAAATCTTTCAAACTTTCAAGATTACATGCTTTGTTACCATGAGTACCATTACCGGCACCACTTACAATGAATTCACTTAATGTTCGGAGATGTGTTAATCTCCCAATCCCTATTGGCATGTAACTTAATGAATCAGTATTATCATTTGTTAAATGCCTCAAGTTTATTAACCTTCCCATTGCTTGAGGTAATTCTTTAAGTTCTTCACACCGAGAAATGTCTAAACTTTGTAGATTATATAACTCACACAAAGTTTCGGGTAGCTTTTTTATATTTTGCCCAGATAAATCACGATATCTTAATTGTATGAGTTTTCCTATTTCTGTTGGAATCTCTTTAATAAAATCACCAAATGCATCAAACTTCAATGCCCTTATACGATCCAAGCTACCAAACAACTGTGGTAGAATATCATTGTCTAAAGGGTAGTCATTATCTTCACAACTAATGAAGAGACTGCGCAACCTTTCGACATCCCAATTAGAGACCGAAAATGAACTTCTTTTCTTAAGCATTAACATTGAATGATAAACTTTGTCATGGGAAGAGTTTTTGAATGGCTCTTCGACACTATCATTAATTTCTATAGTTATACACTCTTTCCGTTTCAGAAATTTGGCAAAGTCATGCATTAAACCATGAATCTTACAACTTATAATATTATCATTATCATCTTTTTCAATATCTAAGAAGGATCGACTTACTAAGTAGTTAAAATACCTTTGACCTAGTATTTCCATCTCTATATTTGGTTCTAACCCAAGATAACCTTGAGCCATCCATAATTTAATCAATTCATCTTTATTCATCCTATAGCCCTTAGGAAAGATAGCAAGGTATATGAAACACAATCTTATCATAGAGGGCAAATCATAATAACTCAAAAAAAAAGCTGGCGGAAAACCTACCTTTGACTCTTCTCGTTTCCAAACTTCTTTATCTAACATAAACTCCCACTCCTGACTAGTTTTAAAGCGTAATAGACTGCCCATGACCTGTATGGCCAAAGGCGAGCCTTGGCACTTCCCTAGAATTTGTTTACCAATGTTTTCTAAGCGTCCACGCTCCTCAGTTGATCTTTCAGATAAGGCTCGTTTTTCAAACAATGACCAATTTTCCTCCTCGGATAATTCATTTAACGTTATAATATCATCTAACATCAACCTAAAAGCAACTGACTTCTCATCACTTGTGGTAATTAAAATTTTACTTCCATCAAGACCACCATATTTTAGAGTACCCAATGATCCCAATTTATTGTAATCTTCTATCCTCATATCATTTAAGACAAGAAGACATTTCTCATTTTTTATATGTTCTTTAATTGTTTCACTAAAAACATCATATCCTACTGAAATAGGCTTGCCTTCTGAAACTTCACTTTTAATGCTACACTTGTCTTCAGAGCCCAGTATGTCCACCAATATTCTTTTACTGAAATTGTTAATCACCTCATTATTATTGTAAGCAAATTGAACAAGTGTTTTTCCTTTCTCTTCCGTACCCACAATTAAGATCACACTAGTACCCTCACCCAATAACTTGCTAACTAAAATATCTTCTTTCTTATTTTGACCATGTATCTCACTTAGATCAAATGAGGAGGTAATCTGTATTTGTTTTTCAGTACTCTCACTCGCCTTAAGATGAAGGTTATCCTTCTCTTGGACAATATCATCTAGATTTTTATTTATTTTTTTTTATCATAACAGCACTTTGACGGCATAAAGCAACTGCTGTAAAGAAAATGTGAGGAGCAAGAAAGAAGAAACATACCTTCTTTTTAAACAGAGGATTTTCAGCCCCCACAATTTGCAGTTTCAGAAATGAAGTGCTGTACCCATCAAAGTCGTCATTTATATCATAGGATATGTCTTTGAGCTTATTTAACCAATCTCTCACTTTCTGTTCCTTCATTTCTCGTGCCTGAGCATCCGGCAGAACAGCTAGAATGTCTTTAAAGTTTTTGGCAGTATTTTCTACTTCTTTGCTGACACCCGCTGCACGCAACACCTTTCTGTGTGTGTCTTGAACAAAGATTAATGAAGAAAATCGCTTACAGACATAGGGAACGATTTCATAAGCCATAATAAAAGGTGATAATTGAATGATGAAAAGGAAGAAATTTTGATTTATCAGATGGATGGTGTTTATGCTGTGAAAATACTACCCATCCATCTTCTCTCTTTTTATACTGCGTGACATGGAAAGCCATAGAATATTTCACCAAATGGGCAAAGTGAAGCCTTGCTCGGTGGTTTAGGTATATAGGTTTCCCCATCTATTAACTAATTGTCAAAATCATTCCTCTCTGTATATGGCCTTTAACTTCCTAAAACAGGAATATGATGCAAGAGTGGAAAGCAAGTAAACGAAATCAAAAGAAAAGAAGACTCCCAATAGCAAAAGCAAAATCTAGGCAACGATCTGATTAATTTCTCTCTTGATATAATATTTTATCCGAGGAAATATAAGAATTAATTCTAAGCAAAAGTAAAATTTGATGATTTACACTTTTGATTTCTTATGAATTTTGATACCAAAATAATTAATTATTTCTATTTTGATACGACTCCTAAGACGAATTGTTTCAAGTATAAATATATTGTATTAATGAGTTTCACTAAGTCATGTTCGAATATTGGATTGAGTAAATACAAGTAAAATATTAAGGGTTCTTTAAACAAAATGAAACAAGTAAACAGAATTTATGTTTCACTAAGTTATCTTTTTTTTTTTTTTTTTTTTCCATTAATTTGCAGATTGAATTTACTTGGATTGCTAGCTAATACTTAAAATTTATGATTCTGTTACTGTCACTGATCACCATAAAAACTGCTCGAGGCCAAAGCAATGAAGGAAAAACTGATATTGATCAATGGTAGAAAGTTCATTCATGTTCTTGAAACAGACAGTAACGTTTGTTGATGAAAAAAGTTCTCAGTCAATGTCTGATTTGTCATTGAATTGCCCAGTGTGGTTCCTCGTATTTATAATTTTAAAAAAAATTAAAATTAAAATACTAAGCAATTTTCTAGTAAATATACACCTTTATTCCTGAAGGTGATTGCTGATTATGATTTTGACATGTTATTGTTTATATAAACAATAGAGTAAACGACATATTCCCACCCAAGGTTTAGCGAAATCTCTCAAGTTAATATCCCTGATTTCATTTATTCCAGATTCTCACCTTTAAACTATACCATTAGTGACCGTTGGAGGTGGTCGGATACGATGAGCGATGTCGGCAAATGAAGGTATAAGTTTTGTAAAGGAGGTTGTGAGGAGTCCAAAGATGGTCTCATAAGTGATTTTGGACTTCAAAATTGGTTGGAAAAAGCCAAAAACCGCCAGTTTGGACACTACCAAAGTGAGCCCTTCTTTGCTATTGTGAGCTCGTCTCTTGCCAAAGAAAGCTTTGATGCACTTTAAAGTGCTAACGTGCGCCACGCTTCAATAAAAAGTTAAGAATCTGTTAAAATAAAGGAAACGACATTCCTTTAAAAGTGGGAATCTGTAATAAATACAACCAGGGGTATTAAATTAAGATTTTGCTAAACCTTGGGTGGAAATATGTCATTAGCTCATAACAATTACATTAATTGTTTTTTACAGAGATTTTGTACCTGTCAGATGACAGTTTAATTTCGCGAGCTTCAGTTTACTTTTACTAGCCTAAATGGACGAGCATCAAGTTAAGTTGGGAGGCTGTTCTGATATTGGAAGTTGATCACTGCAGAACCTCTCGCTGTATTAAACAAAAGCTGGAATTGGACTGCTTGGAAATCTTCGATTTATTTTTTTCAAAGATGTCTTTATGTTAATTTTTTTCCCCTTTCATCTGTCGCATAATTAATCTGATTGATAGTTATAAAATTAAATGCATATATTGTAAAACTTACGTTTCATTACGTTACATGAGTAACGTAAATAACCTTTTGATTTTCATTAGTTTTAAACCTTGATGGTCTACATTAGTTGTTCAGTTTTCAAACGCTTCAGTTTTCAAACGTTTGGGATTTATGGCAGCCATTAAGCATGCCATTAAAGCTTGATGGAAGCTTGGTTATGAATATATTATTTTGGTCCCTCGTTGTATGAGTTACCCTTGCCCCACTCTTCTCAACCCTCCTTCTACTAAGAAAAGTCGAACTCCCAAGGCTTAGGCAAGTCGGAGCATGGTACCTAGGATTTGGTTGAAAGAGCTTTCAGTGCCTTCCTCTGTCTTCGGCTTGAGCATACCTGCTTCCTTTTGTTGGACTAGCAAATCTGGTTAGCAATGGCGGGTCTTCTAAGCCTCTGGCCTCCCTCCGTAGATAACCTCAGATCGGTAATCCGTGCAGATATTGATATGATAGGTCGGTCCCCTTTGACTCTGTCCGCCAACCCCCTTCCATCCTCTTTTATTTCATGGGTCAACCTCTTTTTGGATTCGGCCAAACACTTTTTATCGCTGGTCAAGCTTTCTACAAAAAAAGCGATGCGAGAACGTATTCTCTTATCTAAGCTTCTTCCCTGTGCATTCGCTCCCCCCATCGTAGATGGTTCAGAAACGCCCGGTGCCACGAAATGATCGAGAACTACGACGGGGTCGAATTGAATTTTGTTCTTTGTATTCAATAAGTATTGCATGACCGAATAATTCAAGGAGGAGCGCACTGCAGGGAGGGTCCTTTTAAGTAGATGACTCGTCGGGCCGTCGGAGCGGGACTTCTTTGAGCAGCTCTAACTGTCACAATTTTATGAAAAAGCTCCATACACCTTATCTTGGGTATGGAGCCAGCGTCGGTCAAGTATAACGTGTTTCCAAGAATAGGCCTTGCTGTTCATTAGCAAATTAGGGGCCACCACTCCCATCCTACTCTCTTCCACGATCTCATATCTGCACTCGTTTATTTTTTACAGGCGGGTCAGCACAAGCACAACATATACATCTACTTTTGGTTCCATATTTCAAGTCCTCTCAATTGAGATTCCCCTCATGAAGTGCCGAAGTGCGTACGCCCTCGCGTCTTGAGATCAACCATTGCCTTCTTGTCTTCAGTTCGCCTCATTCCGTTGATCGCGAGGAATGCGATTAAATTGGAATAGAGTTTAGTTGTGACAAGGGTTCTATCCCGTCGCTTCAGTCTTTCAGATCTATTCATTGACCCCTGAGTATGGGATTAGAGTGAAAAGATCCTTGAACCTGCGANTAAAAAGCGGTGAGAATGATGGAGACATCTTTTCAATTTCAATTTTTGGAGGAAAAAGGATGTATGAAGAAATTGTGAAAGGAACGAATGATTTTCATTCTGATTATTGCATTGCGATGGGTGGTCAAGGAAGTGTTTATAAAGCTGAACTATCAGGGAAAACTGTAGCAGTTAAGAAATTTCACTCTCTGTCTACCGATTATATAGCAAATCAAAAAGAGTTCTTAAGCGAAATACAAGCATTAACAGTGATAAGGCATCAAAATATCGTGAAATTTTTTGGCTTTTGTTCACATTCTCGACACTCATTCTTAGTCTACATGTATCTTGAAGGGGGTAGCTTAGCCTCAATCCTGAACAATGAAAATGCAACAATGGAACTAGATTGGAGTAAGAGAGTGAATGTCATCAAAGGTGTAGCTCATGCCTTGTCTTACCTGCACCACGATTGTTACCCACCAATCGTTCATCGAGACATATCAAGCAAGAATATACTACTGGATTTGGAATATGAAGCTCATGTGTCGGACTTTGGAACAGCTAAGCTTCTTAACCCAGACTCGTCCAATTGGACCGAACTTGCTGGCACATACGGATATGTTGCCCCAGGTATCTTTATATATAATCTCTTCACCATTACTTCTCTTAGTTAAATAGATCAAAACAAACAATTTCTTATGATACATATATTTCATTTTTTGCAGAGCTTGCTTACACAATGAAGGTAACAGAGAAATGCGATGTCTATAGCTTCGGTGTGTTGGCAATGGAAGTAATCCAAGGGAAGCATCCAAGAGATTTTCTCTCTCTAATTTCAGGTTCATCTGCCAACATGAACATAGAGCTTGGAGATATGTTGGATCCAAGGCTTCCGTTTCCCTCCCTGGAAGTTCAGAACAAACTGATTTCCATAAAGGAGGTGGCCCTTTTATGCTTAGATGTAAATCCAGAGTCTAGACCCACCATGCATATTGTGGCTCAATTACTGTAGAACTAAATCAATTCATTTCTCAAGTCATCACACTAAATTACTTTCTAGAAAATGAAGCCAGTTATATATAGGATTATTATTATTATTATTATTTTGTGTGTTTTTCTGAATTTCATGATGTAGCAAGTACTATCATTCGGAGATTAATATCATTGAGACTTGAGAGTGATATGTAAAAATTGCACAAATTCTCCATTACTTAGCCATTGGAAAGGACCACAAAGTTCTTGATTTACATAATTGATTGAACACTAGAATTTATTTTGAGACTAAAAAGATTATTTTTCAACCCATTTGAAGAGATGTCTTTAATCAGTTTAAGAAACTTTTAAAAATCTTTATTTACTTTATTATCAGAAAATTTATACTTGAAAATGGTGTAAAAATTGATGGAAGAGAAATGTAAAATTTTTGTATTTTCCTGGGTTTGGAAGTGACCCAAGCTTGAGTCTGAAGCCTTTGGACCACTTGAGTTGGCCCAAACCTTTTGTTTTTTTTTTTTTTTTTTTTTTTTTTTTTTTTTTTTTTTTTTTTTTTTTTTTTTTTGTTTTTTTTTTTTTTTGTTTTTTTGTGTGTGTGTGTGTGTTATTCAAACCAAATTTTAATATAATAATTAAAAATAAATTCAGCATTATAATTTCATTTAAAAAAATTAAATGTATTTGATAATTGTATAGCACTAATTTATTTAAAAAAAATAAATTTCTTTTCTTTTCTTTAAATGGTATTGAAAATGAATTTTACTACAATTGAAAATATTTAAGACCATGTCAAATGTAACAAAAAAATATTTCTATATTAATTCTGGTTGCAAAATTTATATATATCTAAACGAAACCAAATGTCAAAAATGATTTTAAATGTGATGAATTCCAACTTAAAATTTTTACCTTTAATTTCAAAATAGCCCTCACTCATATATTTTTTTTCTCTGTATTTCTTTTTGTTTGGTTACTAGGAAACTAGAAAGAAAATCTGTTGACTTTTTCTTTCTTTTCTGTTTCTTATTTTTCCTTTTTTCTTAAGTCAGAGTAACGATTGATTAGCTTTTTTGGTTGTGTATGGCATGGCTTACAATTAAACTTATGTTGATTTCTACTTATGATCATAAAAGAATGGCTTATTATTGTTTTAATTATATGGTTTCCCGATACATTTAAACAAAATAAAGGAGTTTTTTCTTGTCTATTTTCCCAGTAACCAAACACTATATATGCTACTCAGTAATGCAAAAAATGGTACTCTCTTTTTCCTGCTGTTAATCTTTGTATGCGATACAAGATCATCATGTGTTATATAAATAAAACTTGGTTACCATTTATTTCTCTTTAAAGTTGCAGCATTTACACTGCTGCTGCACCATTGCATCAACAAAGAAAAAGGCATTAGATGATGTCCAAGTCAATTACTAAGCAATATTTGCTTTCAATTTAGCCATGCACAGTTATGCTTTTCTGTTGTAACCCTTAAATGTAGAANTCCGTAGATGATAAAGAAACCACCTTTTGCTTCTTGGAACTCCATTGAACCAGGTTGTCCCCAAGAAATACTGCATAACCACTAGTTGACCGACGATCATTAACATCGCTAGCCCAATCAGCATCAGCATAGGCTTCAAGATTAAAGTGATTATGTTTCTTAAACAGAAGACCATACTGAAGAGTGCCCTTAATATACCGTAACACTCTTTTACAAGCTGTCCAATGTATAGCTGAGGGACTTTGAAGGAATTGGCTAAGTTTGTTAACTGTAAATGCAATATCGGGTCTAGACAATGTAAGGTACTATAATCCGCCAATGATACTGCGATAAAGTGTTGGATGTTCAAATAAATTTTCATCTTCTTTCACCAATTTTGTCCCAATAGTCATAGGGGTGAGACATGGTTTACAATCTCCTATATTAGCTTTATCTAAAAGCTCTTGAGCATACTTTGTTTGTGTAAGTAATAGACCAGCATTATTCCTGCAGACTTCCAACCCCAAAAAATAGCTCACTTCTCCCATAATTTTGAGAGCAAAATGATCATTGAGATCTTTAACCACTTGAGCAATAAGCTGAGTATTATTACCGGTCACCAAAATATCATCTACATATACTAAGAGATAGGTTACATCCTCACCTTTTTTGTAGTAAAAGAGACTGATATTAGAACTGGAATTTAGGAAACCCCAAGCCAAAAGTGTCCCTTTCAGCTTATCAAACCAGGCCCGTGGGGCCTGCTTAAGACCATACAGGGCCTTATTCAACTTACAAACTTGTTGTGGACCAGCATACTCTGCAAAACCATCAGGTGGCATCATGTAAACCTTCTCCGTAAGCTCTCCATTTAAGAAAGCGTTGTTAACATCAAGTTGTTGAACTTGCCAATTTCTATGAACAGCCAACGATAAAATTATGCGTATTGTAGCTGCTTTAACAACCGGAGAGAATGTATCNGATTGCAAAAAATCAAAAGGTGAAATTTCAGCTTTGTGAAAACGTAAAAGGGTGAAAAAAATTTTTGACTTAGATTGTGAGTTAGTCATTTTTTCTTTTTTTTTTTTTTTAATTCAGTGACATCGAGAGTTATTTGAGTTGATACTCACTTTTAACACCTCTAAATTGGATTGAAAATTGTAAAAACAGTTAAGTAAAGAATTTTAGCTCATGCAGATGCAAAACGAATTGAAGTTGATTGAATGATAATATTTTTATGATGCCACAATTGCTTGGTCATTTTTCTTTACAACTGTCACCTTTGTAGTATTGGAAGTATTATAATGTTTTCTGATGCTCAATCTCATTATATTTTTTGTTTTGGGGCTTTGCAGGTAGATGTCCAGTTGAGGAATGAAGATTTGAGGATTGATACTTATAGATCTGGTGGTTCAGGTGGTCAGCATGCAAATACCACCAATAGTGCTGTCCGAATAACTCATATTCCAACTGGGATGACTCTGTCCATCCAAGATGAACGATCTCAACATATGGTAAAGATTTTTTTACCAACATTCCTTAATAATCAATTGAAATATGCTAGCTGGATCAGGTTATTGATTACCACTCCTTCATAACATGTTATAGTAAGGCCTATGTTCTAGTGTCATGTCCTGTTATGGAATATATAGGAAGATGACTTGTTGAAGTTTTATTGTATGTGCCAACTTAATGAAAATACGAAAAAAAAAAAGGGGTCATTGGACAAGTTTTTATCATTATGTGTTGGAGTCCCACACCAACTCCCACACCGACTAGGCACGCTCAAGCCTACTGGTTTATTGGTTTATAAGAGGGGATAATCCTCTCATTCAACAATGCTTTATTGGGTGAGGAATCAGGCCCACCTCAAATTATATCATAGTATCAGAGCCCAGGTTCAGTTAAGCTGAGTATTTGACCAGCGGGTGAGGAGTTAGAGCCAACAACTACCTCCATCAGCAGGCCTAACTCTTCATCCAATAAGGTCTTATTGAATGAGAGGATTACCCTCTCTTATAACCCAATAAACCAATAGGCTTGCGCGTGCCTAGTCAGTGTAGGACTCCAACACTCCCCCTCACGGTCAAGCCCATATATTGAGTCATGCCTGTTAACGGATGTAGTTGTTGGCTCTAACTCCTCACCCGCTAGTCAAACACCCAGCTTAACTGAACCTAGGCTTTGATACCATGATAGAATTTGAGGTGAGCCTGACTCCTCACCCAATAAGGTCTTGTTGAATGGGAGGATTACCCCCTCTTATAAACCAGTAAACTTGAGCGTGCCTAGTCGGTATGGGATTTCAGTACTCCCCCTCATGGTCAAGCCCATATGTTGGGTCATGCCTAGTAATGGAGAAAGTTGTTAGCTCTAACTCCTCACCCACTGGTCAAGCACTCAGCTCAACTGAATCTGGCTCTAATACCATGATAGCATTTGAGGTGGGCCTGACTCCTCATCCAATAAGGCCTTATTGGGTGGGGAGTCAAGCCCACTTCAAATTCTATCATGGTATCAGAGCCAGGTTTAGTTGAGCGTGTCTAGTCGGTGTGGGATTTCAACATCTATCACGGTATCAAAGCCAGGTTTAGTTGAGCCAGGTTCAAATTCTATGTATTTCAATATTTATCTAAATTATCCACAATGTAGTTTTACAGGCAATGGATCTTGAACTATTACACTCTAATCTAGTGCAATTTATTAATATCAAATCTGTAGTATAGCTGCGTTGCAGTGTCATCCCTCAGTATTAAGCAACATATAGTAATCAGTGGGCTGGGTACTTTTGCGTCATCTGTTTTGGTTTTTCTTCCCTTATGGTTGTTCTTTTGCCTTTTTGATCTTTATAACAGAACAAAGCTAAAGCACTTTAAGTTGCTCTGTGCGAACCTGTATGAAATGGAAGGGTTAAGAATTCAGGTGAGTTGATCAAAACTTCGATCCGAGCAGGTAAAAGTGACTGTTAGATGAAGATGAGCAAGTTTACTATTGCTTTTTGTTTCTTATTTTCCAGAACAATGAAGAGATCTAATCACTTACAACTTCCCTCAAGGGCGTGTCACGGATCGTCATGTTAGCATCACTCATCATGCAACAAATGATGTGATGGGGGAGAAAATCTAGATATCTTCATGGATGCTCTTCTTTTACCAGCAGGAAATGCATGCAATTGCCTCATTCTGTTCTAGTCAGTGATGCTAGTGAAGAAGGTCTTTACCCAGGGCCTAATTTTGATCGTATTTTTGAATGGTGTTAAGGTTTAAGTAGATTATTTATTTTTAAAATTTGCCATGGTTTAGCCTTATAATTGGTATATTTTTGTAACAATATACCAACTTCCTGGCTCTATTCTAACGGAAATATGAAACTTGAAATCTCTTTTTGACCTCGATTTAACTATGAACCAAGTGGTCAACCAACTAAGTGGTCCTATTCCCTCTTCCTTTTAAAATCTAAGCAACTTAGAGTCCTTATTCCTTGGCAACAACAAGAAATTGGAAATTTCATGTGATTGAAGATATTGGATTTAAAGCAAATCATTTGTTATTTGCTTCGTAATATTTGCAGCGTTGGTTTGCTCCAGCACTTCTATGCAAGTGACAACCA